TTGCGAACAAAGCCTCGCAATTGCGGCACTGAAGGCTTGAGGGACTCTTCGCAAATGCGAAGATTGGATCGTATTTGCGACCACTGTTGCCCTCGCAATTGTGACAAAATCATCGCAATTGTTATCCTAGCCCATCCCAGCAGACTTCGCAAATGTGTACACTGGTTTGCAAATGCGAACCAAGCAGACTAGTCCTACCTTCGCAAATGCGAACTCAGAACTCGCAATTGCGAGATTTGAGGCCTGTGCAGAAAAACCATCAATCTTTTGATTCCAGCCACACTCTGCTAAGCGTCCGAAACTCACATGAGCCCTCAGGGATCCATTCCAAACATTCACACAAGTTTAAAAATATCATAAAAACTCGCTCGCGTAATCAAAGCATAAAAATAACATGTGAAACTATGAATTGAGCTAAAAACGCATGATTTTCAAAGAGATTTTCAAGAACTTTTAAAATTACAACTAATCGTCCGATTCCTATCAAATCAACTCCGAACGAAGCCAAATTTTGCAGACATGTTCTAAATTCCATATCAAACCTATTTCAAGTCCCAAAATCAAATTCTGAGCTTGATGACTAAAAGTTAACTTACGATCAAACTTTTCGACTTAAAACCAAATTTCGGTAAATCAACACAATTCAGCCTACAGACTTCCAAAATCAATTTTGGGCATGCGCCCAAGTCCAAAATCACTATACAAAGCTATCAGAGTCATCAAAAACAGTTCCGAGATCGTTTTTACATAAGTCAAAGTTTGATCAGCATTTTCGAATTTAAACTTTTAAGTCTAGAACTAAGGTTCCAAATCAACCCGAATGCTTCCCAGAACGAAACTAATCAACCCCGCAAGTTATAAAGACATAAACACACAAGTGTGAAGCAATACAAAGGGTAACAGGGTGCAATTACTCAAAATAACCGATCGGATCGTTGCACTTGCTGGGATGGTTTAGAGGAGACCTGAGAGGGTCGGATAAATTTCAGTGCATTTGGAGCAAGTTTTATTAGGTTTAAGTGCTAAAAAATAATTCTCTCCACTTGACCTGACTTCACAATAGAAATGACCTCTATTTATAAAGTATTTAGTAAAGATGACTTGATAAAATTTATGGCATTTTGAATCTAGTTTTCGAAAATTCAAACCGTTTATCATTCATAGAAAAGTTATGACTATTTTAGCGAAGGAGGGACGACATTGTTATTTCTGAAAATACGTACCAAAATTTTCTTCACTTGTGTATATAACCTCATCAAATACTTGAATTTTATTTTATTATTTTGGGATGTATGGAGCTTGGATTGAAGCCATTTTTGAATTTTAGGCTTCTCTATGCCTTCTTTGGTACATGTTCTACTTGTACCTTACTTTACTTATTTGTATGAATTCTTGAGCATTATTACGTATGCTAGAGATCATGCTTAGGATTTTGGCATATTATAGGCAAGATGGGATAAATGTGTGTTGTGTCGTGTTATAGTTGTGGTTATATATTGTGCATATGGATACATCATATATATCGAGTATTTCTTGTATATATGCATACACTATGTATAATTATTCCTCTTGTACATGTGCATTGCATCATAAATGTTAGTCTTTCATGTACATGCATAATAAGGATGAGAGTGATATTGGCACAATAGATATTTCTGTGTGGATTGATATATGTGCATGGTAAGGATGAGAGAGATATTGGCATGATAGGTATTTCTGTGCGGATTGTTGATTGATAGTAGCTTATTGGACACTAGAAGAGTATTTGTTGATGTAAAATTTGAGTCTTTATTATGCATATACATTTTACTCATGTTGTAGGATTTTGGCATATTATAGGAAAGATGGGATAAATGTATATTGGATTACGTGTTATAATTGTGGTTATATATTACATATGGATACATCATATATTTCGAGTATTTCTTGTATATATGCATACAGTAAGTATGATTATTCCACTTGTATATATGCATTGAATCATAAATGTTAGTCTTTTATGTACATGCATAATAAGGATGATAGTGATGTTGGGACGATAGACATTTATATGCGGATTAATATATGCACATGGTAGGGATGGGACAAATATTTGCACGATAGGTATTTCCGTACAGATTGTTCATTGATAGTAGGTTATTGGACACCTTCAGGGTATCTGTTGATGTAACGTTTGAGTCTTTATCATGCATATATATTTTATACTCATGTACAAGCATTCAAATAATGTCACTTGATGCATAGCTCATTTATATGCGATTCGGAGCATTAATATATGTTTTTGATCATGTATCTGAGAAAATACGTTTCTTATCTTCTATTTCGATGGTGCACCTTATTATTCATACTTGTTGTTCCTTGGTTATTTCTCTATTTCTGTATATGGTTATGAACTGTACAAATTATACAAAGTAAGTATCTTTTGACTAAACCTCGCCACTATTTTATTGAGGTTAGTCTTGATACTTACTGAATATATGGGATCGATTGTACTCATACTATATTTGCACACCTTGTGGGTAGATTTTAGAGTTAAGCTGTTGCGAAGTTAGAGGGTGAGCATTGAAGACATCAACGTTGCAGTTATTAGCTAGCGTTTTGTACATGGTTGTTACTTGTATTTCTATTTATGTATATTCAAACAGATAATATATTTTCTTCATAGCAACATCATATAAATATTTTTTAGTTGCTCATGGCTTGTGGCACCAATTCTCGGAGTAGTTTTATATTGCGCTATTATTTTATTAAATATCTGATGAACTTCAGTTTCGATTGTCTTTTATGTTGGTTTGATAACTGTATAGTTTATACAAAGTAAGTGTCTTTTGACTAAACCTCGCCACTATTTTGTTGAGTTTAGTCTTGATACTTACTGAGTATATGGGATCGATTGTACTCATACTATATTTCTGCACCTTGCGGGTAGATTTTAGGGTTAAACTATTGCGAAGTTGGAGGGTGAGCATTGAAGACATCAACCTTGTAGTTATTAGCTACCATTTTGTACATGGTAGTTTTAGAACTTGTATTTCTATTTATGTATATTCAAATAGATAATATATTTTCTTCATAGCAACACCGTATAAATATTTTTTAGTTGCTCATGGCTTGTGCCATCAGTTCTTGGAGTAGTTTATATTAAATTTTGCGTTCTTATTTTATCAAATATTTGATGAACTTCAGTTTCGATTGTTGATTGGTTCACTTAGCGGGTTGAATTAAAAGCCATCACGATTTGATGTGCAAGTGGTCATGCATCACTAGCCTAAACATTGTTTAAAATAAATTTATTTGTAATATTTTTAAATATAATATCTAATTATTTCTTTCAAAATTTACATTAATTAGTTTTTAAATAAAAATAAAGGTACATATTCAGATGCATATTTAAACTTACTTTTCTATGATTCAAATATTACTTATCTAGGATATATAAATAAGATACCACCAAATACGTATCAGAATTTCCTTCTAACAAAAAATATGATCCAAATTCGAACATTTAACTCTTAGGGTGTGTTGGTACTAAAGAAAATATTTTTTATGAAAAATATTTTCGATGAAATTAATTTTCCTGGAAAATGAGTAGTTTTATCACTTATTTTTCCTTGTTTGGTTGGTGAGTGAAGTTTTTTTTTTCGAAAAATATTTTGTAGTATTTGGTTAGAGAGTATAAAATTTTTAGAAAAATAAATTTTTTATGCTACTCTTCCACCCCCACCTTCCCCAAAATCTCCATGTTTCCTGTGCTCCTTCCTTATCCCCCTCCTCCGACTCTATTTTCTTCATGAATTTAATTATCATTTTGAAAATTCACACAAAACCAAAGGAACTAATGCGACACTTTACTTATTTACACAATTTCAACGTTGAAATTTGAGCTCGTTAACTAAAAAAATACTTTATTCTGTTGAAAAAGAAAGTATCATTTCTACAACATGAAAAGAAATTACTCAATTTGTTGAATAAAAGAAAATACTTTTTCTTCATCATTAAAAAAAAACTCCATTTGCTGAAATGAAAGAAAAAACTTTTCTATATCATGAAAGGAAAATACTCGTTTTGTCAAAATGAAAGAAAATACTTTTTGTACATCATTAAAGAATATACACATTTTTTTGAAATTAAAAAAAAGTACTCTAGCTACAACCAGGGGCGTACCTACCTTAGTTCAAGCGGTGTCGGATTTGGTCAATTTTTTTTTTACTAATTATTAATATATTATAAAATATGCAAGAAAACAGTAAACTTCTACATATAATTAAATTGACAGAGCTTTGACAACTAATGTGGCTTAGCGTAGTGGTTGAACGCGTCAAAACCCTCATTCAGGTTATGAGTTCGAACCATGATGTTCTCTTACATTTTAGAATTTCAAATTTATCATTTTAAAAAAAATACAAGTCAAAAAGAATCGAACTCCTGACCTCTTTTAGAAAAAGGTACCAACTAAACCTGAAAACCTAAAATCGCTATGGTGGCATAACTCACAAAAAAATGTCTAAGATAAGTGTATTGTAGATTATTATGAATACATTTTCAAGAATGAGAATTTGTTGAGGTGAATTGTAGTTTTGAATTATGTTTTATTAATATAATTTGAATTATATTTTTTTAAATACGATTTTTTTTATTTGTTCATTTGTTCTACTCTTCGAAATATCGACACCCCTTATGAAAAATCACGCGTACACCCCTAACTAAAACAATGAAAAGAAAGTACTATTAATAGTAGTTCTATTTAAGGTGAGGGTTGGTAGGGATGGATAATACGGTGGAGCAGGTTGAAATTTTTTTTTGAAAAATAAGTTCATGAGAAAAATATTTAAAACAACTAAACATGAGAAAATTAAAAACATTTTGCGAAAAATACTTTCCGTCGAACCAAACACACCCTAAAAAAACAAAACAACTTACCAATTAAAAATAGAAAAAGAAAAAGAAACGAAAAAGAAATTATGCTTTTCTCTAACATTATTTTCTCCGGTCCGAACAACCATTATACTAGTATTAGTACTAGGGTTTAAGCGTCAACGTCGATTTTTAGTTTGCCTAAAACCCTTGTGAAGTTGGGTCCAGCAAAATCATGGCTGCTGTGGAGATAGACCTTGGGAAGCTTCCATTTGACATAGATTTTCATCCATCGGATCACCTCGTTGCTGCTGGTCTCATCTCTGGTGACCTCCTCTTGTATGTTCACGTCACTAACTCTCTGTTCTTAGACCCAACTAGTTTGTAATTGAGTTTTAGTTGATTAAATTAATTGGTTTTGGGTTGCGCCAAACAATGAAAGTTCACTGAAATTTATCTGTCTCCTGCAGGTATCGTTACATTGCTGATTCTCCAGCCCAAAAGTATTAATAAAATTCCCCCTTTTTTCCTTCTTATCTTCTTTCAGTCCATTGTTGGATGGTTTTGGTTAATGGTTTATTCTGAATTGTGCAAATGTGTTTTTTTTTGGTTTGTTCAATAATAGGTTGTTAGAAGTTAAAGCTCATAGTGAATCATGTAGAGCTGTTCGGTTTATCAACGAAGGCCGTGGTAATTTATTTAAACATACCCTGTTGGTCCTTTTTTAGTTGTTTGTAATTCGAATACGTGTTCTTTTTCTTGTTGGTTAAAGTATTTACTTGCCGATGACTCAGAGGTGGATCCAGGATTTGAACATTATGAGTTCTGGATTGTCTCATAACTGGATTTTAGGACAATGACTTCAAGTGCTTTTAATTTGTGTTATGAATTTAATTTTTCATACATATTTAGTGGATTTCTTAGCACATATTCAGAGTTTGAGCTAAAGCTACTAGGCTACCATATCTCAAAGCCTACACTCGCCCCTCCCTGCAACAACTTGTGCAAATTGACACCCTCTATCAGTTGGACAACCAACACTAAAATGAACTAGGGAACTCTCATTTTCCAGCACCTCTACTTTGACTTTGGTAAACATAGAGGGGGGGGGGGGGGGGGGAAGACTTGAGCAAGATTTTTGTTTGGTTCTATTACTTCGGTTACTTTCTTGTTCCGTTTGCTTCAATGTAGTGGTTACTGCTAATTTGATTTTTTTTTTCTGCTTAAACCGAATATGGGTACAGCAATTGTGACGGGATCTCCGGATTTTTCTATCCTTGCAACGGATGTTGAGACCGGTACAGAAATTGTTCGCCTAGAGAATTCCCATGAGTGAGTTCTATAACTTAAGTATTAGTGATGACATGTAATAGCTTCGAGCTAGACATTTATTAAAAATATTGCTCTTTAGACGTTCTCATAGAAAGGTCACTTTTGGATTCAGGGCTGCTGTTAATCGAATAGTTAATTTGACGGAGTCAACTATTGCTTCTGGAGATGATGAAGGATGCGTTAAGGTGAAATCGGTGTATTGATTTTTTTTTTCCTAACCGAAGAAGGCTAAGTTAATTGATGATTCTAAAAATATAAATGCTTTTGGTTGTCTCTTCAAATTGGGAATTTCGAAGTTATTAGTAAAATAGTCAGCATTCTGTCATTCACTATTTAACTTGACTGAATAACAGGAACAACAACAATAACTGTGCGTTAGTCCCAAACAAGTTGGGTTCGGCTATATGAATACTCGGACTATGTTACTCCATTTAAACTCATCTCATGTCAATCTAATGCTAATAAAAATAGGATCTCTTGACCAAGTGTAGCATCAAACCGTACCGTGCTTGTTAAGTTGTTTGCTTATCACACAATTTTAGATTGCTTGATTTACTATCGATATAAAGTAGCAATGGCTTTGAGGTGCAGACAAACTGGTCTGTTCACCACTGTTACTTTGAGTTGTGCTGTCAGCAACCTCGCGAACCTGGTGCATGGAATCATAAACTTTCTCTCTTTGAAAAGGAATTTTGAATAACAAAACATTTAAGTGTTCAAGCATCGATGCCTTATTTTCTAAATACAGTGCATGTGTAAATACTGCTCCTTCACGTTCCTTATTAAAAAATTTATCTCCTTCATGTTCATGATCACTGTTTCACTCTTGCTTTTTTTATTCTTCTTTAATTCTGTGGCTGAGTTGTAAAGACAAATAAAAGAACAGATGTTTATGCTATAATGCTACTTATATTACAATTTAGAGCTTCATTGGTCTTTCTGAATTGCCTATCAAGATTGCAGTCGATAGTCCACATACATAAATTTTTGGCTTTAGCGGACTTGGGACTAATAGAAACTTGAATTATTAATCTATCTTGCAGGTATGGGATACCAGACAACGCACCTGCTGCAGTTCTTTTAATGCACAGGAAGAATACATTTCAGACATTACTTTTGCAGCCGATTCCATGAAACTATTGGCAACAAGGTAATTAATTCTCTCTCTCTCTCTCAAAAGCATGCATGCGCTCAGTGGTTGTAAACTGTAACTATTTTTGAGAGATCTTTAATTAAGTGAGGATGAGGCACTCAAAGCTTTCAGCCACCCCCCCCCACCCCCACACACACACACACAAAAAAACCATCCTGTTTGACATATCATCCTTACTAGGAGATGGCTAGATATGACTCTTTTGCTCGTTTTACCTCTGAATTTGAGTAGCTAGCATTTGCTGTATTTGTCATGTTTGTAATTAGTGGAAAGTAATACACTGGTACTAGATCTAACTCATTACTTGCGAGGAGGAATGAGGATTTGCAAATCTTCTGTTGGTTTAGAAGATACCACGGAACTGACATTTTCTAAGGCGCTGAAAAGGAAAAGCAGGATCCTTGCTGTTCTTTTGTTAAGTCTATTTTCTTGTGTACATTGATCTAATTTGCAGGCAGTTTTTAGGTTGGTTTTGTTGCTGTGTCATCCTGGACATCTTTTTTACTACCTTTTTCTCAAAAGGTGAAAGGGGTTCGTGCTGTACTGTTCTCTTGATGCGGTCATAATTTATTTGAATTGGTTATTCCTGGTTTATGTACAATGCTAGAATTAGAGTTCAAGTGCTCCATTATTTCTTTTCCCAGTGTTCTGCTATTTTTCCCAACTCTAGGGATTGTGTTCTAGATATTTTCTTTCAGCAAAATGTTTAACCATTAAAAATGTTAGAATGTCTTTTACGTCAGGAAAATGATATACTTTCTCTTTATTCTGTTACGGTCGGGCTCATGTGATGCTAACTTTGGCTCATCTTAAGCAGTTAAATCTCATGAAGTTTAATTTAAGAAGTTCATTGTAATTATCTGAATTGCAAACTCCTCTCTCTTCTCTGTAGTGGCGATGGGACACTTACTGTATGCAATTTAAGGAGCAATAAGGTAATGTAATCCTTTTGGTTACTCTTGAAATACAAACTATACGTACTGACATTAGTTCTCATCACTTTAAAAATTGATACATCTTCCATATCTCAATTTCAGATCCAAACTCGTTCTGAATTTTCTGAAGAGGAGCTGCTTTCTGTGGTGATTATGAAGGTAATATTATTCTGTATGTAATTTGCCTTACACCTTCTCATGTTGAGCTTTGAAGACAATGTCTCCATGTCTTTGAATATTGTATTGTACTTGATTATCAGCATCCGATTTGCTAGGGTCAATGTGATTGTAGTTCTTTTTCTTTAAATCTCTTTTTGGTCAACTTGATTCTTACTGTGTTGAGGTGATACTGTATGGGGACTCTAGAGGGTTTTTCATCTCTATATTGTTTCTTCTTTAGATTTTCTATTCAACTGTTATCCACAAAATACTGTCTCTAAGCTTGCTTCACTCGCTTTTGGTGTATTACATTTATTTTTCCCTTTTTTGTCATCAGAATGGTAGAAAAGTAATATGTGGTACTCAGTCTGGAACTCTGTTACTCTACTCATGGGGGTTTTTCAAGGATTGCAGGTATTTCTCCTATTTCTATTTCACCTCTTGAACTTCTTGTCAGGAGTTGATTCCAATATATTCCAATTTCTTGTGATTTTCAGTGATCGCTTTATCGATCTATCACCGAACTCTATAGATGCATTACTGAAAGTAAGTGTCTACTGTAACTTTTTTGATTAGGGTATCTACAGTAATTTCTTTTCCCGAGAATTTAAACTTGAACTTAGCTTTATAATCATACATGGAAAACTCAAAATGTTCTTTTTCCTTCTGGATAAGCTTGATGAAGATAGAGTAATAACAGGGTCGGAGAATGGAATTATCAGGTGAGAAAAATCTCTATGGTGGTACAAGACTTGATTTTATTTGACAAATAAAATTCAAAATTTTCCTTGAGACACTGCTTCTTTTTGGTGTAGTCTGGTTGGCATATTACCAAACAGGATTATTCAGCCAATTGCCGAGCATTCAGAATATCCTGTTGAGCGTCTTGGTATGATTTTAAGTTGAAATTTGGAATTTTGTAGTTTATATTTGACGGCTGAATCTGTATATGTGCCCATGTAATGGAGTGTTTCATTGCCAGCAGCTTTATACTTCTTTACTTCACATTTCTATTTGTTGGGTTTGCTTAGATATGCATCCTTCAATAATTTGTACTTATAAGCTGTATTGACATTTTCCCATTCATGGTGCCTTATGATGTTGCAGCTTTTTCTCATGATAAAAAGTATCTTGGAAGTGCATCACACGACCAGTTACTGAAAGTCTGTAAATCTCTCTGTATCCCCTGCAATATTTTCTTTGAAATTTTCAAGGAGATTGTGAATGTTAGGAAGTTGGACCACTAATGGTTCTACTGCTCCCTTTTCCTTTTTACCTAGCTGTGGGATCTGAATGAGTTGCTGCAAGATTCTGCGGATGGTGAGAAGAATGATTCAGCTGCTGAAGACAGTGATACCGATGGGATGGATGTTGATGATAATGATCCAAAATCTTCCAAAGGTATATATAATATTTCACATTCCTGAGTGGGGAAATTATTCTGTCTTTCATGTGTGGTAAAAGATATGACATTTGTGACTGGAAGATACAAGGTATAGGGGTCGAAGTTCCTGGTGTTCCCTACTTATTAATACGAGTTTAATTCCCAAAGCTTGTGTTTCGTCCCCTTGTCAAAGTTGTATATATGGGCCACTTTGTTATAAGTTTCATGCCTTTTTCTTTTTGTTTCCTATAAACTAGAGTACTATATCTTAAAAAAGTTCTTTATTTCGTGTTTTCTGGTGGGCGAGGGAACTGTCATGGATATTATTATCGTCATTAATGTATTCAAACAAGACATCCATGACCCGTTGTTTATGCTTATATTATCAATAAATATTAAAGGATTTTGAATGTGAAGGCATAAGTGTACCTTTTTTAGTCTTTACTGTTTGGTAAGTGGATAGTCTAAGCTATTAACTATATTAGTTCATTGACTGATGTCATTTTCAGTATTTTTGTTCCATTGTTATTCTAGTTCTGACACATACCGGATGAGGAACTTATAGATTAGTTCCCTAACATTCGAGAAGTACATTTTAGGGCTCCGCATTTTGTTTCTGTGAGTTTGAGAACACGGAATTGCTGCTCAATGTTGTTTGCTCTCTAACCACTATATAATGAAGCCTGTTAACTCATAACTGGTTCAAGGAGCAAGATAACTGCTATTCTTTCAATGATCTGTAAAAGGTCTTTTTTTGTTGTTGCGTAACTAAGGCTCGACCTTATTACTGGACTAATTGACGTCAGAATGGTAGGTCTTTTTAGGTACTTAGTGAATCACCATGACACAATAAAAATTACTCTCAACTGCCCCTCATATGTATCTCTTGCCATGTTGTCTATCCCTCTACGTTATTAAAAAAAAATATAGTCTATATCCTTCAACTTTTTACTTTTACTCTTTCTGCAGGGAGCAAGAAGAAAAATGTAAATAAAGGGAAAGATCCTGGGACTTCGAGCGACTTCTTTTCAGATTTATGATCCAATGTCTCATTGGCCTCGGAAGGGCCTAACCAATGGCTATTCAAGCAAAAATCATTCATCAATTGTGTCATTTTGAGTGCTTCCTGTGTGGCTGTCACGTGAACTGGCCACTATGGATAGAAAAGAGGTAATGCTCCCTCCCCTGCTCCAGTGTTTCCCCTCACATTAATTTGATGCTGAGGTCTCTGATGCTTCTGGAGGCGTGCATTATACAAGTTTTTGGAGAATCCAATGGTTAGCTTTAATTAATTTCTTTGAGAAATGTTGATGCGATAACTTTTAATTCTGTTGATAGGCTTATGTAGTATTGGCGCATTGATCTTTGGAGGAATCAATATATCCATCCATGTAATGGAATATTTAGTCCCTGTAGAAAGAGAGTTTTTATCTATTGACCTCTGTTTGACTGTATCTCTGCTGAAGTTTCTTTATTGGTACATTGGAAAAGACTAAATAAACTTGTTAAAATCTTTCATAACCTACATTGCTCAACAATAGCCCTAAGAGGGTGATACTAGATGTGCTCGTCTTCAATAAGCTTGACAGCAAGTAGACAGTTTGTTTCCTATTTTATTTAGTGTCAGTTTTTGATGCTCTTAAGTCATTAGTTACATGGGTATAATACCTTTGGTTCTGCACTTACTTGAGTTACCGTTATACTTGGAAACATTCCCACAATTAGATAAGAAATTGGATTAGAAACCGCAACTTCACTTCTCATGACAAGTGAAATTGCGCAAAGATAAGGAATTGTTTCGTGAATCATATCATATTATATTATGTATATAGGTTAAATTCTTTTTATACATATATATAAAATACATTGAATATCCTTTAACGAAATCTTTGGCTTTGCTACTGTTGCCAACTATTTTTAACCTCTTTAAACGATGTACCTCTTTAACCATCATCCCAGTCAAATATTTCAAGTGAAAATATAAAAATGATGCTGAATTAATATTACATAGCCTCTTAAATAGTACCTTGTTTTATTCTTAGACATTGTACTTTAAAATGTTAGAACGTTTACATTGTCTCTCTTAAGAATATATTTAGAAATGTAAATTTATTATTCGAAATAAAGCCAACATAAAGTCTTGTAACGACGTAACCATAGAAAGAAAGAGGATCAAGAAAGCCAAACTAATTTATGTTTCTGAGAGAAAGCCCTTATGCTTTCTACAGTAGAAATATGTTATTGGCTCTAAGCATATAATTAGTGAGCATTATTTGTTCACAATCTCTAGGTTTTGATGTCACTAAGTACTTTACAAAATGTTTTGGTTACAATAAATAAAAGTGTAAGGTTTATATAGCGTAGCATTCTCTCACCTTAATAGCTAGCTTTTGGAGTGTGGTTCTTCCTTAATTGTATTAACGAATTAGAGTCACCCACCATCCTCCATGGCCACCATCCCAAGGCTAGAAATATTTAGCACATAGCCAGCTGCGGGTGCCTAGGCACCTGACTCGAAAATGGCTACTTGGGAAAGAGCTACCTACTTGTGGTAGAGTTAAAGCTACCGAGTGTGGAGTCGTTGATGACGAATGCAGAGCGTGGTGGTTTGTTATGGTCTATTACAATGTATGAGAATTGAATCCCATATTAGTATTGTAATATGCTGATTTGGAATTTATATAGCTTTGGGCTCTCCTATTTCAATAGCTAGCTTTTGGGGTATAATTTTCCGTCGGTTGTATGATTAAATCCTGTCTGCGATGGGTGCCAAACTGCCAATAGATCTTTTTTTATTTATTAATGGGGAACATCTCTTCTCCAAGTAGTTCAATGAATAGCATATTCAATTCAATAACATAATGTTGAAATAACGATGATGGAGTAAATAGTTAAAGTTGTGTACGTACTCGATTTCCTTTTTTTTGGTCTGTTATGGCGGCCACGCTGCACTTGAGCTTTAACAACCACGTCGAACCAAAATTTTGATAATTTAATTCAATCTCCATCTGTGACATTAAAGCATCCTTTTATCACAACCATCATCAAAGGCAGAAAGAACGACATTACGCGTACCGGTGACAAGTGATTCAAAATATAATTAAAGAAGTAAATACAAAAAAAGGGGATTCTGAAATTTATTATATACATAACAATATAATTGACCTTGTATATATAGTATAATTTTTCGATGAATGAACCCTTAGTTTCATGCCATAACGGATACTCTCGTGTACATCATATGTTGTATGGAAGACCTTTCATGATGGATATTATCCATTAATTTCTCACATGTTTATTGAACTTTACTCATCGTATCAATGAAATCACCAAATTATTTTTGTATCACTTACCTATATATGTGTTAATTTCTCAAAAATTAAAATTCATCGGTTTAGGGTTCAAAGTTTTGAAAAGAACTACATCACACAAATTCAAATTAGTCAAGATAGTGATATCGAACACCCGCCAATGCCCTAAAGTCAAATAACTTTTGATCCTAGTACAATAATGAATGGATCAAAGCACAAGCTTCTACTTTTTAATTAATGATTAATTATATTGATAAGAAAGATAATAAATGCGTTTACCCTCAAAATCGGATAACAATTGAATTTGTAAGTGGTTTTAAGGATACATGGATTAAATTGACACAAAGCGATAAATTAAATTGCAATTGAAATAAAGTATGATAAAGTAAATTCAAAACACACGAACTAAACAGTTACAACCTTATGGGGTGAGCCACCCTTGAACAGAATGCACTTCGATCAATGACAAGACACGGTTGAATAAGAGCTTAAAGAGAAAAATAACAGTATATTGCTTCTGAGTGCGTCTCACGATATGTTTTACAAGTAATTAGACCCCCTTTATATAGCAGGGGAGTTCTACTTTAGGTACAATTCTATAAAAGGTAAAAATCTCCTGATTTGCTAATTTGCCAGTTCCTTATTGATATGTGCCGAGATTCTCGCCGTAATACCCGACCGATCACGGATATTTCGGCCTTTGGTCTTCTGTTGGTTATACTGTCAATGCATCCTCGAGCTCGTTCGGGGTCAGGGTCGATTCCGAGAACATGGACTCAATGTTCTCGAGGATGGACATTTTGACCTCGTGTTTTGGTTCGATGGGACTCGGGATTGATCTTCAATCCCTCACGTTCCGAGACCGATCTGTCATGTAGTAGACGAGCCCGATTTCGAACGTATACAGATAGCTCCCTCATTTTTCGGAGAGTAAACAACGAGAAATGATATGAGCTTCCGATTCTCACCTCGATACTCCGCGTCAGAAACGACAAAATGAACGAAACGTCTCGTCAGTCACATCTTAATGGCATTAAATGCTTGTCAGTTGCTGGTCGGCCACTCATGGATTTGAACCGTCATTTGAAAACTATAAATACCCCCTTCTTCATTCATTCAATCTTTACATACAAACCTTCTCTACTCTTGTTCCTTAGAAATCTCTACATTTTCTAGCACTTGTATCCTGATTTCTTGAGATCTTTGTAAGAACTTTCGCTCGTCTTCACTCCAAACCATCAAGTGTATCCCGTTAACTTCCTCTTTTTCATCTCTTTCCCTACATTTTAAAAGAAATGGCGAAAACTTCAAAAATAGTTTCCCAAAAAGAAACTACCTCTACATCACGGTCGGCAGGCAAGGAACCAACGACTGAACCTCCTCTGAGCACGTTCATTCCTGGCGGGTGCTCGGTAACCGCCGATTTTAAGGTTGAAAAACCTTCGGCCGTACCGGGCCGGTGAGAAGGTCTCGAGGTACATCTGCTCGATCACTGAAGAAATTCTCCCCAAGGTCAAAAAGGATTGCAACTGGGTCGGCAAAGACGTAGTGGTTCCCGGGCCCGATCAAGATATCACTACCCAAGTTGAGGGATACATAAGTGTCTATACTTATCCCTTTATGCTGGGCCCGTTGGACCCGGTCATTATCCACTTCTGCAAAAGGTACGAGGTGTGCCTCGGCCAGATTCACCCTTCATTCTAGAGGATTGTCATCCTTCTCCGGTTCTTCGTGAGCAAAATCGACGGATGCTCATTCACCGTTGACCACTTTATGCGCCTATACAGTCCCGACTCTTTTTTTTGGGGGGGGGGGGAGGGTTGATCAAACTCGCACGCCGGGCTAGTAAAGCCCCATTCTCGAGCATCGATGAAGATCAGGATCGAGGCTGGCTGGGCCGTTTTGTTTGAGTGAGGACCTCGGACCTAATCCCAACAGAGTGCATGCGTTCCTCGAGAAGTGGAACACAAAACGTAAGTAAAATTATGTTTTTCCAAAATTTTATTTTACTCTCCTTTCCTTCTTTCTTATCGGTGATCAGTGGTGGTGCAACTGTTGCTCGGGTCCCGAATGCAGTCCCTCGACTCAAGGAGTGGGTCTAGGGCATTGTGTCATAAAATCCATATTCAGAGCGCGCATGGCGCGAACTCTCGAAGGGCCGGTGGGAGGACCGTTCTCATGGTAAGGTTCCTTTCCTGAGCGAATAACACCTGATTTTCTTTTATGTCGCTGAGTTCTTACTCGTTTCGTTTTCCTTTGCAGGTCTTTCCAAGGATGTCGCAATGAGGCCTCCATCCGGTGACGAGGATTGCCCCGCCGAGTCCCTTTCTCCGAGACAAGGTGAGGAGAAGAATAGAAAAAGGGGTCCAAGTTCTCCGAATTCGGAGAAGAAAAAATCGAGGAGGAGGCTGGTGCACAAATCCAAAGAAAGCATCAGTTCTCGAGCGCTATCATCGGATTCACTCTACCGGCTGAGGGATGAATCCCAAGAAGAAACCTCTGAACTGGTGGCCCGCGTGTGGTTGCAGTTCGAGAGACAAGGGGTCTCTGAACCAGTGGGAGGTGAGACTGAATTGCCTCAACTCAGGGAGGTCAATGAGGAGGCAGTGGCCGAGGCCTCCGAACCAGAGAGGGACAAGACTGTTTTGCCCCAAGTTAGGGAGGCCGTGGCTGATGTTTCTCGGGCAGCGGGCAATGCCCCGAAGGATGTACTCGTGTAATAGACCTCTCCGAGTCGCCTTCGTTCACTGAGTCCATGTTTAACGAGGCTCAGATGCTTAAAGGACGCCCCAACGAGGGGCCCCAAGGGGCGGCATACCCCTTTCACAACTTTTTTGATGGCGTAGACTCTACCGCCACAGAGGACGTCATCGGGCTGGGTGACTTACCGGTGCCAATGAAGAGCCCATATTCGGGAACAAACGGGCCTTCCTCAAGTCCGCCACTAGTCAACCGATTTCCAGCTCCGAGTGTGAATCCTGACTGGAAGCGCTCAATCTCATGTCCATTCCGGAAGATGCCCGGGTTCTCTCTGCCGCCGTAGGGGTGGCTAGTTACCTTCAGTGTTTGGTGATCGGAGAGGAACAAGCCAAGATGAACGAGGTGGAAGCTCCCTACCTGTTCAATGAAGCTCAACATGTGTTAAACCGGGTAACTTTATATACCTCTTATTGACTTCTAATTTGTACTTAGATTCATTTATAGATGATC